CTCGCGTTCGATTTTCATAATTATTCTCGCGTCACTTGATATTTGGTAGGAAACACTGGTAGCACTTTTTAAGCATTCCATAAATTTGTAACAATGTCCATAAATTCCATAATTCCTTAAATTTGTAACAATATCCAGATAGACTTATGATCATCGCGACGTGAGACAATCGATGATGGAAATTTTACAATTCCTTTAATTATACATTATTCATGAAGCAAATATACTGTATTGTGCGAATTGGTCATTCAAATTCAAAATTGATCGCGTCGTGTATTAATGTAAATTTTTTATTACATCGATGCAGCAACAAATTTACTAACATCCACGCTCAGATTGTCACATTACATTTTATATGGCATATTGTTATTTAGGGCAAATTTGGAGATTTCCTTCGTATTTCTTTCGTATTTCTATTTCGTCGTTTTATGTGATAAATATGAGTAATTAATCGTATGAGTCATAAGAGATGCAATTTTTACAAATCGGTTAGTACAGTCGCTGCCAAACTCACGTATACCGTACGATTTACGTACACCTGTCTATGTGGGCACGAATTTCTGAACACAGAAAAATATCATTCTGCTAAGAAAAGCAATTGCTGAATTCACTTCCCTCTTTTAAGTAACGCGCTTATCCTTAGCATCAAATATTTTTTTGGTAAAAAGTCTTAAAGTATATTCAATATAAATTTTTGAAAGATTTACTTTTACATATATTCAAGAAAAAAATGTGTTCTCTTTGCAAGAATATTACAAAACTTTATCGAAAAAAAATATTGGGTCGACTTTATGTAGCAAGCAAATCGAATTTTCGTTTCAATTCAGTATTCTTGATTGCTAAAATGCTAAACTCACTTGAATTTAGAATATTTGGAATAAATGTCATGCTTGTAGTGAAAAGAAACTTATGATAAATTTGCAGATATACACTTACTTAAATATAACTTATATCTTTACGTATAATAAAGGCGTCTAAAAGACGTCTGAAAGACGCCTAAGAAATAAGACGTCTTTAATGTCTTTTAGAACTTTCTGTTGCCTGGGAATTATCTCTCCTGGACTAATGGAATTTACACTGTTGCGTGATAAGACAAATTATAATTTTCGATTAAACCCCGAGCTTTTATCTTAACACACTTTGGCCTACTCATCCCAATACCTCAGCTTCTTTTCATTCGCGGGATACGCGGGCGCTAGCACATGCTATCGTAATTACGTTCTTCTAAAACAGTCACCCGAGCCCGTAATAAGACGCTATTCTTATCCGCGATGAAGGGAATGTTCAAGAGACGGTGTTTACGATGCCAGCGTGGGTTCTGGAGACCGCGCGATTCCGCACGCAAAATCGTGACTCGAGCGCGAAGGGCCGAGGGAATTTTCGACCGCAGCGAGACCCGGATCGATGAGCGGACCGAAATTCCTGATTTTACGACAACACCGTCGTAACCCCTCGCGCGTCACGGCGGAGTTACCACGATATCACTTGGGGCGTTAGCCGGATAAGCCGCTAACCCCATCCACCTGTTGCCCCTTCTTATACGCTGCCGCGCGTTTCGGCCTCGCGTTCGTCTTCATTCCTCGCGTGAAAACGAGCCGAGGATTCTCGGCCCGTCCTCTTCCAGTCCACGTGGGCCCTCCGGGGCCCTTCGCTCCGCTCATCTCTCTTCCGTCAACGACACCGGTCGGCCTTTCTCCTCCCCCCTCCCTCTCTATTTCTCTCTCTCTCCTTCTTTCTCTTTCTGTTTCTCCCGTTCTCTTCGGCACCTTCAGGAGCATCCCGTCCCTCTCTTTCCTCCTTCTCTTCTTCATCGTCTTCTTCTTCTCGCTTACTCCTGTTCCAGGCCCGGGTCTTCAGCGGTCTGACGTGTTTTTTGCGAGTGCATACCTCGAAGCAGCTCCCGAAACAGTAGCTGGTACTCCGGTACAGTCCGGGCAAGTGAAAAAATCACCGGTCGATTCCTCGCAGTCGATCGTTAGATCGGCAGTGAGTGATGCACAGAGTTGCCTTTTCGAAGATCGGCGAGAGAGAGAGAGAGAACGTCTGGGAGAGCTTCCTCTTCGGTTTAACTCCAATCTGCGATCGCGCCTTTGTTTAAATATCTTTCATGAGCAGTGATTTTCTTGTGAAATGTCAAATACGTCGGCGCAGTGAGATCGAGGAACTGAAATTCAATCGACTCGACCTCAAAGAGTTAATTATCGCGAGCGTGAGGAAACGACGGACGCGGTTGCGCGCGACATAAGAAGCGCCTGGCTCCAAACGTCGGAACTGTCAATTATCTTCGAAAGCGAGTGGCATATAACGCAAACGGCCGTCAATTATTCAAGGTCGCGTCACGGTGCGCGAATATGGAGCCAGCTCTGATTAAATTCTATAATTCTGCAATTAAATAACGAGGTTAAACACCCGCGAAAATCGCTGATTGCGAGCGAACACGAACGCGGCAGGAAGTCGCGAAGGAGATCACGGAGGGTTAAACGTCGCTCCCATCTCTCGGCTCGTTGTGCGCTGCCACGCTTACGCTCGTCGTATTCCACGGAGGCGTCATCGACGATCCAGTTTCCAGACGACGAAAACCGCGGTGCATTTCGCACATCGGCCGCGGCGGCGACGGCGGTGGCAGTAGGATTGTCGCATTCTGGGCCCAGTTGACCCCAGTTAACACCGTGGACGGCTTAGCCATGAGTGTTAAGTTCAGTTCACTCATACATAAATCTAAGTCCGCGCTTATGCCTTAGCTGGCCGCCGCTCGGAATTGAGCACGTGCTCAGATTTCATCGGCGACGACGCTTAGATCATCCGGCTCGTTCGGCCCGACCGAAACACGTCGCAGATTCGACCGCGTTTAGGCGACGCTCCCACCGTGAATTGCCGCCGAAGGCTTTTTTAATCGCACAGCCGGCTCGAATCGCGCATACTCGATTCGTCAATTAGATTTGCTAATGGGGAGCCATGTTTCGATCAAAAATATCATGATGTCAGAACCGTGTCCGTCGTTATCGTTCTCACGACACGCCGCTGCTCTACCACCGCGTCATATGCGCCTTGATACTCTAACTGAGGTCAATTGTACGATTTTCGATTTTGCATATTGCATAGAGTTGAAAATCGTGGTGAAATCTATTCTACACAGACTGAGAGTTCCCAAAGATGTCGCGATGACTTGACCACAAAAAGATGTCCTGTTGGTGCGGGCTCTCGATCTTTGTCTAATTCGACTCTTACTGGATATTTTGTCTAATTTTCTTTAGTAGGAGTCAAGCTAGATACGAAAATGGAATGCCGTATTGTAATTGTATAGAGAAGTAATTTCTATAAAGTCAAGAAAAACATTTTTTTATTCTAATATAATATTAGTAGTATTAATAATAATAACTATAATAATATAACTAATAATAATATAACTATAATAATAATAATATAACGTTATATACATTTTGCCACTATCATTTTGCTGCAAAAAATATAGCTAGGGTCAAAAATAACTATAATTTTAATTTAATCAAATGTCCTTCAGATTTTGTCTTCAAATCTTTCACAAGGAGGCACAATCTGTACGCTAAAATATCTCATTATTAGCATCCTTTTGATCATTGACATTCCCATTGACATTCAAAAAAATTCTATTTTTTCATGCAACTAGCATTGCAGTTGTCTGCTTCTCTGCACTTCTGGCCTGCACTAAATGATTTCAAAAGAGAACCTTACCAACTTTAACTGTGAACAATCACTGCTTGTAGCGAGAAATCAGACTTTTCAATTACACAATGAAATCAACAAATGATTATTTCATTTTATAAAAGTCTATAAGGAAGCCCGAGTAAATAAATGTTGACATCTTGTGCTCAATGTTCGATTACGATTCTCAATCGTGTTATCGACTGATTCGACATTTTAAATGTATGATAACATAGACAAGTTGAGATAACATAGACAAATAAAGCATGTAATAACAACTGCCGATACATCAGAGATATATAATTTTATAAATTAATGGTTAATATTTACGAATTTGGAAAATACAGATTTACGAGTTTAAAGGGCTACTCTTTGCAAAAATTTATCCGATAATCACCGCAACATGAAAAAGTCACGTAAATATTAGAAACGCTATATGCGAGCGAATTTTGTTTTCGTTGATTAAGAGATTAAGGACAGCAAAGAATTTATATTATCCCGCGGCGATTACCGCACTTTCGAGGGATTATTCACAAACGGGCGATGAAATAAGCATCAAAATAATTTACATAAAGCGTACTCCTCGTGCGCAGAAAATATTTTTGCCTAAAACTTGCCGAAGACGGTGTAAAAGCCGAGAAGGATTTTAATAACAAGCATAAAAACGTACAAATTGTGTACCATAATGCTAAATTGTCTCTCTTATTAATCTCTTCATTATATACATAATAAAGGATACCTCATTTCAAGATGCTAAGGCTACTAAATTCTTGCGTTGTTTTCATATATTTCTTCATATCTTTCATTCTTTTCAATTATTGTTCCATCATAATACTAAATGCCGTAGTTATGCAAAAATGATCCAACCCACATGGAGTACATGTCGAGAAAAATGAAGATAAGAATTTGATAAATGATTCAGAAAATATAGATAGCACTAAGGTTCTTCATAATTGTTCAAACATGGTTAATTTTCTTCTCTTTAATTATATTCATTAATAAGTTTAACTTTTAAAAAACATGGGGAAAAAGGACGCAATTAATAAAAAATGACGCAACTAGTAGAAAATAAAAACTACCTTTTAATTAATTTTACGTGCTCTAAGGCTTAGATCTTTTTCGTTTTACGTAGATAGACGTGTAGACTACTTATTATTAACAAAAAATTAAAAAGTCAATTTTGTGGGTTGGATCATTCTTGCATAACTACGATCAATTGTCGTTGTTGGAGTTAAATATCTCGCAACTGTACTTATTGTCCGCAAAAGATGTTCATATAAACGTACTTATTGGCCAATAATATATTCCGGGGGTTGCAGAGCCAAGCTTTGGCATTGACACACAAGGCCTCGCCACCATCTAGACCTAGCAGCGTATCCTCGTTACCGAGGAGTCCTCAGTCTCATCAGTCTCAACAGTCTCAGCCGCAGAGCACACCTCAGCCCACGCCGGTGCACCCGCTACAGTCTCAGACACCTCTGAGCGCACCACAGACACCGTTCTCCGCGCACAATCAGCACCCAAAGCAAGAAATCAACGTTAGCCCCAAGCAGGAGGGCTTTGATCTCAGCAAAACCGCCTCCAGCACAGGTAAGTTCCCATTTTTCCCTTTTGTGCCCCTTTGCTTTTATCGCTTGCGTCGATACCGCAAATACCATACGAATTGGTTGATCGATACACACGCAACCAAAACGCTATGTAACATAGCGGTCCATTTCGACGAAATCTGAGACTGATGCGTTCAAATGGAAAAATAAATCTTTGATATTTAATTACAAATAGCGAACTTGCACGGACTATGCAATTAACTATTCAATTTTGATTATCATCACTCAAGTGACAGCATATGCTGAATCTATAGTTCGTAGATTTCAATAATATATTATATACTTCATCACAGATAAGTTGATCAATGGGCCAATTTTATTCATAACGCCAACTAGCACACTAGTTGCTTATTTTTCGAAACAGATTGCAACGTTATGTTACATCATAACAAAAAAATTATCATCAAATAGAGAGGTGATGAAACAAGTGGCAAAGAGACAAAATCAAATCTTACATTCCAAGCATTTATGCGCACAAGGCAGAAATTTGGCCGTCGGAAATTTAAGATTGCAATATCAGCATATATAGTAATGCGTCAACGAAGATAAATCATCTATAGGCCGATTATAACATATGCAAGTAAGCAATGTAAGTGCAAAAATGTTCGATGATGCGAATATATTACGCGATCAGCCTTTACGGGTAATCAAAATTAAAAAAAAAGGGGGGGAGGAACAGAGAATGCTGTTCTCTTCCAGCAAGCGTCACTCTTAAAATTTGTATTACTTCACGTAACATTATATCTACGACAAATGTGAAATTTCTCGCGTTGCGACATAAAAATGTTGCGTAAATGAATGTACAAAGGATCCTCTCAGAGTCGCCAACCTTAACGGGTCTTGCGCGTCGCACACAGACAAACGTTCACCCCATGCCTTTTTTCATTTCCTCGCCGTCTTGCTCGTTCCTACGAGTGCACACGTATGCACACCCCATTACCCCGGGTTGCATCCCGGGTTTGACGGCTTGCGCAGGGTTTCCCGTGGCCGTAAATCTTCGATTCGCCGGGCGAATTAAGTTACCTTTTACGCGCGCGCGCGCAAGAGAGAGAGAGAGAATGAGAGAATGAGAGAGAGAAGCAGAGAGAGAGAGAGAGAGAGAGAGACAGGGCCGTGTGAAAACAGCTTGGGCGTCTTTACAGCGCGAACTCGGCCGGGATTACCGGTGACGCTGGCAAGGAAAATGCGGTAACGATGCGCCGATGTCACGTCCATTAATGCACTCCGCCGAACGGAAGCGGCGTTAATCGCCGTCGCGTCTCGCAACCGACGAAGGCCGGCGTGGCTTTTGTGTATAACGAATAAAAGGGCAAGTGAGAGAGAGAGAGAAGAGAGGAGAGGATATTTAAAATTCACTGCACACACACTTCAGCCTGCTCGATCTCCCAGCAATGCTGCTTGTTTCATTCAGCAGCGTATTAATATCACTTAATTGTTGTTTTCAATATAACAAATATGATTAATAATTTTATAACAATAAAGATATACGTAAGACGTTTAATAATAAAAATATTTAATAATTTCTTGCAAAAAAGAAATATGAATCTTACGAAGTTTATTTTTAGATGCTTGCAAAAGTTTGTACACAATTTTAAAGCCATTTTTACTTGCTTATTGATATTTTAATCAAAATATTGGCAATGGTTTGTTTGTCATTGCTAATCCTTTTTTTATCAATTTTTGTAAGAAAGAAAAAAACTGACTTTTACCTGAATGCAGACGTCGCTGAGAAACTTTTTACTAAATTTTACACAAATAGTTAAAATAAAAATTCTGTCTCTGTTATCTATAGTCATTAAATACAAAATACATGCGATATCGCTGTGTCTATATTTATATTTATATTTATATTTATGTCTTATTATTTGTCTATCTTAGCTCATTTTTCGTGCCTAGATCATTTTTGCTATGACTGCAAGATCATTTCTTTGAATGTATTTCTTTCGGCCAATATTTTGATGCCGCGCCGATAAAATGACTCATCTTTTGAGGCAATCAATTTATCAATTAATATTTTACAACGTGATTACACTCGTAATTATGGAATGTGGAAGGTTACCGTAAATCTCTGTGACGTTTTGCGCATTGTTTCCGTTTCCCAACTGGACAGTCAAAATCTATCATTAAATTCCAATATCCGAATTATCGAAATCGCATTATGTTCTTAATATTTATCTCGATCCATTACAAAAGATCGTTGTTCAAGAATAAACATAAAATTACTGTGTGTGTGTGTGTGTGTGTATCTATATGTGTGTATGTGTGTGAGAAAGAGAAGGGGCAGAGATGGCGTGTTCAAAATAGTCCTACTTCACTTTCGAAATAATTCAGAAACTCAATCGTTATGTCACGCCATGAAGTCCGCTTCCGCTGAGAATGACGAAGACGTATACACTCGATGGAGGTTGAGCGAGAGGGGTCGTTAAAGCTCGTAAACGAGATAGACTATCGGCGGTATTTCCTTGATCCTCGATAATGCGGTGGAAACAATTTACACGCGGTCCGTTTGCAGCGAGAATTAAACGCTATATAAATGGAGAGACGAGATGTTCAGCTCTTTTCTATGCTCAGCAAAATTATTTTTCTCTCCGCTCGCGGCGAAACTAGGACAGCAGTCACCAAAGAACGAAAAATTGTCGTCAAATTAAACATCTAACGACAGCATAATGAATGTTCTTTGCTGAAAGGAACTTTTACTTGATTACACTGAACAATGAAAAGTTATCTTTTTATTCGTCTTTAGGTCTGCTAAGCAATTTCTTGTAGATGTTTGCCTGCGAATCTGCGACAAAAAATCCTCAACAAATCCCTCCAATCTAGATCATAATTGATTTAAAAATGCAAAACATGCAATTTTTTAGTATCTTTCACGGCAAGCTTCTTGAAATCCTGACGTAACAGAGACGTTTTGCGCCAGATTTGCATTCAACAACTAAAAACTTATAAGAAACGTGACTTGTCAAATTTTAATAAGGCAAATTAGATTAGTGTTGCTCAACGTTCTTATCGATGACATAACATGTAATAAAGTGTTTTTTTCGAGAATACTTTCTCTTTTTTATAGAACTAGTCTTTTATATATAATAATTATATTGTACGTTAGTCAGTGGGAGTAATATCTCTCCACCCTCCTACATATATTCCGCTTTCCCCACAAAATGGACGAAGTTGCTACAAAGCAGAGGGAAGCCGGTCCCGCACGTGTATAAAGCCGAAGGGACGACTAAAATTGAATTCGCGGTTACGCGCGCGCCTAATCTGTCATTTACGTTGTCGCAAAACTTGCCATTAAATCCGCGCGTATCTCCTCCCTTCAGTCCGCCACTTGTTTTTCCCGCGATGCTGTTACGGAAGCGAGAGAAAAGAGGCTGCGTCGTGTGTCATGCCGAATTACCGAATCCCTACGTACACGTTTCTTTCCTCGGATTGACTGACTTCGTTTGACTTAACGAGAAATCGTGTTAGATATTCTTAAGAATAAAAGAGGTTCCGCAGCTCGACGATCCGCGCGGCAATCCCAGAGAACGCAGGAATGCAGGCAGCAAGAGTACATATTTGCTCTTCCAGCCCCGACCTACGCGAGGGGAAAAGGGAAAGGGTGGCGCGAATGGGGAATGCGGGTGGACAGAAGCACGCACTTCCTAAATCTACGGATTTCGAGGATCCTCCTTAAATCTCCGTGCGTCACAGTTAATCCTTCCTCCCCGAGCTCGCGCGGATCCTTTTTCTGCCTTTCTCAGCTCTTATCTCCACCTTCCTCATCGAGCATGGTTTTTTAAATCCTCCGAATTTCCAAAAGCGCAACCCACTTATTTTCAGCTCGCACGCGGTAAGACTTCAGCTGAGGGACATCGGGACACGCACAAGTGACGACAAAAGATTGTCACGATACTTTCATTTCACAGTATATATTATGTCATTTCAATTCGATAGACAAGCCGCAACGCTCGAACAAAGTACGGATTACACAACGCAGTCTTCAGTAACTACAATACTGAATAACTAATGAGCTTAACACGTTTTATCGTGCAAACTTAGGCTTTTTACTAATAAAAAAATGTACGAGAAAATAGAAGTAAAAGATTCCGACAGAAACTAGCAAAATGTAGAAATATACTCGAAAGTAGGTGCGAACTACACTCAGGGAAAAAGAACAATGATGGCGACCATACAAGTGACAACTATACGAGTTTTCTACGTAGAATTAGTGTATATAGTTTTTTTATACTAAAGCTTCAGTCGCACTAGCTACCAAATATATTAGTTTATTAAACTATACATATTACAATTCCACGTGCAAAAGTCATATAGTTGTTATCTATGCAGTCATCATCATCCATGCCGCTAAGTGTGCCTTACGTCAAAGAATGATGTCGGCGTAAATCAAAGGTGAGCCGGAAAGATGAGACCGTTTGTCCCCTTTTAGTCTGCGAGCCGTAAGCGTCAGCTCGGAATTAGGATAATCGTCCGCGTGTGTTCCGTCCGGATTTACCTGGACGTCTATATGCGCGCATCCGTGTGCACGGCCGGAGGGGCGGCGGACAGGGACGAGTGCAGTCAGAGGGGAGGATATTGTGACCCTTACGAACTAATCCGGATTAAATTCGAATCCCTGGCTATGCGGCTAGGCGACCTGCGAACATCTACCATGGCGTCTTGCGCCATACGATCGGACTCGTTACGCCATTTAACCCTACGCGATACTCCCTCCCCGAGATAGCGCCTTTTATGGCGAGCTGGCTTTGAATTCCCCACCGTTTTCGCCCTCGTCACCCTGGACAGAATGTCAAAGTTTACACGGCACGAAAGTCTCGATTTGGCCGTACCAGGTCCAAACTGCCGGCGCAATACTGGGTCAAAAAATATATACATGGTCGGCGCAAGAGTTTAAGTACTCCCAAGGAGAGAGCTTTATTAGTCAAAATTACTATGGAATTTTGTCAATAGGTCGACATTCTACGGTAATTGGTAATTCATCCTTCC